GGGCCGCATCTTCTGTGTGTTCATTTTTTCTTCAATTCTTGATTTCCATCTTATTTTTCTGTCAACGGGTCCTGGACTCTGATACCTCAATACCCATTACAGTTGTGGGAGCTCGTCTGGGTTCCACTTCATGCTACATCAGAATCCAGCAACCTTGGGCCTTAGGCATCTGATATTAATGTCTGTCCCTTGGCAGGGACCTGCTCCCGTTTTCCTGGTATGGGGCTCACTGCATACAGCACACCGTCCTGTGGCCATCTTCACCACAATGGAAACAATGATTCCAGTTAGGTCGGATTTGTTCAAGACATCATGCAGCCACATCATCTTTCTCTCATGTTGTCTCTGTTACGACACTCTAAAGCCTGCTTGTTGTGGGTTTTTAAGCTTTTGCTGTTAGCTGTTGGATCATATCAGCTGGTGGGCTTTTTGCTGTAGTCTCTTTTAAACTGTGACTGCGCGGCTTAAGCCTCGACCTGAGCACTGTGCACCTCTGTGGGTATCTGGCGAGTGGCTGACCCCAAGCATTTCTGTCTTTCATTCTCATCACTCATTGCTTTTCTCATCTGCCTCTGTGTAACCGTTGTTGCTGTTGTTTCATTTATTTCTTATTTGTTCTCAGTTTTTTTTCTTTTGGCTGTGTTCAGAAATTCAAGCTGGTTTATGTTATGCCTTTATTTTGAAGGTCATAGTGTGTCCAAGCCAGCCTTAATTAGTGACGTGACCCACCTGTGTAACTAAGAAACATGGATGAGGTGCTGGCTAACTGACTGGAGAATTCTGTGACAAAGCAGAAAGAAAAGACTTGCAAAAGGACTAAAAAGGATGTTAAAAGACAAAAAGGATGCTTGGAGTCCCTTCCTAAAAGCATACAGCCAACGAGGTATTTATTTGTCTTTGTCTTTGTGCACATTTTGAATTTTGAGTTCATTATAAATCTTGTGTACACAGTTTCATGGTTTGAAGGTTGGAGAAAAGATAAATGATGAAAGGCCAACAATAAACCAGTTGAAAGGAACAACTTGCTATGGTCTGGTTGGAAGGCTCCACCACTCAGGATTGCTTCGTCAGATACTCGGGTGTCTGTAAGAAGCAGTTTTACTTCTCTACGGACATCATCGTGTTTGTGTCCAGGAGTCTCATTTATCAAACATTGCATAGAATCCTTACTAAAACCGTACTTAAGCTCAGCAAAACAAGTGTACTTACGCCAAGCAGGTTTGTGATCTATCTATCAAACATGGAGTACGCACAGCTGCACGCAATCTCCGCTTCATGAATCAGAAACTGTCTAGAAAGGTTCTCAGCTGCTTTGTAGTCACACCCCGCCCTCACCACGCCCACTTACTGCCATAAATAGTCAATGCAAAGTGCCTTGTGGATCTCATGCATATACAGAAGCCGGCTGTTGCGGCGCTCCGCCAATGACGATGGCGACCGTAGATCAAGGCAGATCAAGGAAGCGCTATTTCACAGAAGCAGAAATTGAGCTACCTGTGGGGGAAGTGGAAAACCGAAAGGAAGTACTTTTTGGAGGTCACAGCAGTGGCATAACCAATAAGAGAAAATCATCAGAGTGGCGCAGCGTTGCTGAAGCCGTCAATGCTGTGAGTTCGTCAGAGAGATCTGTGGCGGACATTAAAAAGAAATGGTCCGATCTGAAGGTGGAGGCTAAAGAAAGTGGTGTGTTTGAAAACACAGTTCCGGTTAAAAACCGGATTGAATTGTCCACACATATTCCAGAATGTCTATCTTAAAAGGGCTCTAGTGTCTGAAATGTCAGCCAACAACGAGCCGCTGACTAGAAACTAATCCAAACGGGAGTGAGAGTGATGGACGAGTGAGAAAAAAGTATACTCGCTGCGGTTGGGATGAAGAGATCGCCATGCATTGCAAAGCCCATAATCACTCATATCCACCTTATTTTTGAGTAGGTTCATGGGGAAACGTTGATGCAAGCTACATCCGGTGAGATATCTGACGTGGCACACACCTGTTTGCAATGTGAGATTTCGTTGCTTGTAGCAGTTTTTTTGAACATTTGAAAAGGATTTCACAAAATTTTTACCCCCGAAAAATGTACTCAGGCAGCTTGGGAAGATGTTGTGCTGTTCATGCTTGTACTAACAACCAGAGAAAATTACTATTGTAGCTACAAGTGTGATATTTAGAACACGAACCTACAGAGTGAGAGGGCGTGTGGCTGCGAGCGTCGGAATGGTTTTCACAACCACCCCAGAGATGAGGAACCCAGAAGGATGTGGCTGAAAAATCTTTACTTGAAAAGCACAACAAACTTTATCTGTGCATTCCATTCATTTTATTGTGAAAACTCGCAGTGGAACACCTGCATTCTACTTTGTTGTTGGATATGACAAACCTCCGGAGAAGCGACGCAGAGTAGTAAAGGGATCTTGACAGCAGTCTTACTAGAACAACAGGTACAATTTCATGTGTACTATTTTCTGAATAGTTATAATTAAAAGTGCGTTTAGACTGTAGTTATTAAACTAAAAGTTTGTATTTCACCTGATGTAGAAACTAAAACCCAAAAGTTGGTGATGATGGATTTAAGGCTCTGGTGAGATTTGCTTTTAAGTAAATAAGATTGTGTCCCACATCGTTCATCAAAACTGGGCCAACCTTATTACTATGTTAGTACTGATCAGCTACAGAGCTTTTAATATTGTTTATTGCCTCTCTGTTGAAGGCGACTGAGTTCAGAATGTTGCAAAAATGCTACTGTACGTTAGCTTTGGGCAGACTTTAAGATTGTCCCCCCACCTCTCTGTTTCAGTAGGCAGAAGGAGTGTAACGGTGTCCATTTGAGCAGTTACGGCTGGTTTTCATACATGTTTTCAATCTCTAAAAGCCCATTAAAAGAGAATTTGTGCAAAGTGATCTCATCATATCAGTGTAAAAAAACGTGGGACCGGAAGTCACTTGCCTCTTTCGCGCAAAGCATGATGGCCCGTAAGAATGCAAGGCGGTTTTATTTATATAGCACCTTACAATGGTCCAAAATCGACTAAAGTGCTTCACAGAAATTAAAAACATTAAAAATAATACACAACATAAAAATGCATAAAGACTAAAACGTAAGAACTAACACTAAAAAGACTCTCATGAGTTAAAGACCAAATCATAAAAATATGTTTTCAAAAGATTTTTAAAACCAGACAGAGAAGAGACCGACCTGATGCTCAAAGGCAGCGTATTCCAGAGCCTGGGGGCCGCTACAGAGAAAGCCCTGTCACCTCTGAGCTTACGTCTTGTTTTTGGGACTGCCAGGAGCTTCCTATCAGCCGACCTCAGAGACCGTGCAGGGGAATAAAAACCAGTAAAGAGAATTTGTGCAAAGTGATCACATCAGTTCTACTGAAACCGCTCTTCTTAGGGTCTCTAATGACCTTCTGACTCACAGTGATGAAGGGGACTGAGCTCCTTCAAAGGAATCTCCTACCATCTTTATGCAGATGACATCCAACTGTATATCTCCTTTAAGCCCCATGAGATGTCTAAGCTGCAGCTGTTACACACCTGCTTAGACTCTATCAAAACCTGGATGGTGGGAGCTTTCTTCAGCTGAATGAAGATAAGACTGAGATCCTCATCTGTGCCCCAGACAAGCTGGTTCCCAAAGTCAGAGACTCTCTTGGTCAGCTTGCTTCCCACACCAAACCTTCTGTCAGGAATCTTGGCGTGACCTTTGACCCAGCTCTCACCCTGGATTCTCATGTCAGTTCTCTTGTTGGCTCTTCCTTCTTCCATCTCAGGAACGTTGCTAAGCTGAGTCCCATTCTGTCCCGCTCTGAACTTGAGACAGTTCTCCACACCTTCATCTCCTCACGCTTAGACTACTGTAACTCTCTTTTCACGTGTCTGAGCAGAACCTCCCTGAACCGTCTACAGGTGGTTCAGAACGCCTGTGCTCGGCTTCTGACCAAGTCCTCCAAACACACCCACATCACCCCGCTTCTCCTCCAGCTTCACTGGCTGCCAGTCAACTTCAGGGTTCATTTCAAGATCCTGGTTCTGGTCTATAGGGCCTTACATGGACAAGCACCATCTTACATTGGTGATCTTCTTAGTCCCTACACCCCCAGCAGGTCCCTGAGGTCCAGTGATCAAAGCCTACTGGTTGTGCAGCACCAGGCTAAAGGTCAAAGGTGACAGATCATCTGCTGCTGTGGCCCCCAGACTCTGGAGCTCTCTCCCCCTGAGCCTGAGATCAGTGGACTCAGTGGTCTCCTTTAAAAAGCAGCTGAAGACTCACTTGTTCAAGCTGGCTTTTGTATGACCTTCTTCACCTCTCTCTCTTTATTCTGCTCTCCCCACCTATTCCACCTTCCTCAGGATCCACTGGTTTCCCTCTTTCCTGTTCACTCTCTCTCTTTCTTAACATGTTTTTAATCACAATTGTCTATATTTGCTAATTTTAAATATATTTTTAAATATTTTCTAAACACTTTTTAATATTTTTACATTTTTTGTTTTTGTGAAGCGCCTCGTGATTTTTGTCTTGAGAGACGCTATAGAAATGATTTCTTCTTCTTCTTCTTCTTCTTCTTCTTCTTCTTCTTCTTCTTCTTCTTCTTCTTCAGTAGCTTAGAGAGGTAATGTGGAGCAAGGCCATGCCAAGATTTAAAAGCCCATAAAAGTATTGTATTCTAAAATGAACAGGCAGCCAGTGCAGTGAGGCCAGGATAGGAGTAACATGCTCCATCTTTTTCATCCCAGCGAACAGCCAATGCAGCAGCATTCTGCACCAACTGAAGATGCGAGAGGTGAGATTTTGAAACACAAAGGTACAAAGAATTAAAGTAATCAAGCCTTGATGTAATAAAAGCATTAATCACTATTTCTAAATCCTTTTGTGACAGCAAGGTCTTCAGAAAATAATAAAGAATAAGGTGGATAGATACTGTTTAACTAGATTAGTGGACCGCTGAGTTGAGTGTCCCTTTAAGAGTGGGCGTGGCCACATTATCACGTGACCTGACTCAGAAGTCCTCTGAGTAAACTGCCTGAAACTTAGCAGTTGAGGTAGGTTCGGCTGAGTAAACTCCCCAACATCGGGCCCCTCGGCTGGGGGTAAATGCAGCTCTGTTTCCAGGCTGGAGAGAAGGTCAGCAAGCTGACAGCGGTCAGCCACCGAGCTGGACGCCTCCAGCTGTACAGAACACCGGACCGTGGACTACGGCTTCTGCTGGAGGCTCATGCCGGTTCCGGGCCCTGCTATGGCACAGCCCGCAGTGGATCATCAGACACGCTTTCAGGCTGCTGTGGATGTCATTCACAACCTCCCCAAAAATGGTACGTGGCCGTTTTATGCACACGTCTGAGGCGCGTGCATGTAGCAGGTCTCCTCGAGCCCACCTGTCGCTCAGGTAACAGTGGTAGTGTCAAAGGGGCAGGGCCACACTTAGCTTTGGGGGGACATAAAGACCAGCATCTTTTCACCTTAGAGCAGGGGTCTCCAACCTTTGCTGGCCGTGAGCTCCTCTAACACCGTTAAAGTGCAGAAGAGCTGCCGCCTTTACTCACACTGATGCTAACCGTGTTAAACATGCTATGCTAACTGTGTTAACGTGCTATGCTAACTATGTTAACGTGCATTATATTCATCAGTTGATTCTCTGTATTTAATACGTCATTATTATAAAAAGGAAGATGGTGACGTTCTGAAAATAAAACTTACATTTTGTTTACTGACCAGATAGTTCAGATAATGAAATATAAACCTAGTTCATGTGACTGACTAGACATGCTTTAGAAAGGGTCAGTACCAGCTAACCTGGTCCTGTTTAGCCCCTGGTTCTGGGACCTGCCCAGAGCTGAAGCAGCAATGTCAGGTTTCCATTCTGTTTAGTCATAAATGAACAAATACTTCCATAAACTATGGAAGGCCTTTAGAGAGCATGTCATCGTCTTTAAGTGTCCTTTCGTACAAATCCAGTAATTATGTTGTTGCAACACAACAATTCTCATAAAACGAATAAAGCTGAAGGTATTTAAATAAAATACAAGTTAAATGTGATGAAAACACAAGTGAAGTAAAAACAGAAATAACATTTCTTCCTGCTTTCCTGGTTTATTCAGTCATCTTTATGGGTTTTTGCTCCTGACAGTTACAGCTGTATTCCTTCATTTGGAAAACAAATTAGCTTAAAACGTTTTTTATGCCTCTTAACAACGAGCTAACATAGTCTAGCTTATCAAGATATATTGTGGAGATAAAAAAACACGAAAAAAAGAATAAAGTGGTTCTCTGCATTTGTCCTAAAACCTCAGCCAATCATTGCTTTGTACGGAAAGCAAAAGCCTGAAATACCGACTCTATGGTTTGTATTTTTCTTTTGGACAGATTATTCTTGCTTCATATTACAACACCGTAGCAACATAAAGGCATTGTTTTATTATTTTTATTTTTATTTAGAAAGATTGAACTGGATTGTTGCTTCATTTTATACATGCACATGTCTATATTTGCACCTTTCTTCGTTAACACCAAGAGCACGCTATGCTAATGCTACAGTTATGAATTTAAGCATTTGAGGAATTTAAGGCTTTTATTTATGGAAAAAATAAAAGGTGACCTACAGATCTTAGTATTTTCCCCGCTAATATCTTCACTTTTTGGTTGTTAGTTAAGAGCATGCAGCATCTTCAGCTCCACTCCTTCATGTAATGAATAAACCAAGAGCGCAGCTGCTTCTGCCATTGCTGATCGGTAAGCGTACATTTTAGGGATGTTCCTATCACATTTTCTTGCTCCCAATCCGATACTTAATAACAAAATAAAATAAGGGAGACTGCACCCAAATTGACCTTTTAGGGTTTTATTATTTCTGCATCCAGCATGATACATAAGAAAGTAGAAACATTTTGTTGGTGCAGCAGCACTTTCAGTAAATAAAATCTCTGTAGCTTATCAGTGGTGCAACAATAGAACAACGTACAAATGAGTTTTTATAGAAAAGTAGAAGAGGTTTGTAAAAAGTCAATACCATAATGCAAGTCAAATTAAAGTGCTTACCTCCATTTCTAAGAGGTAGTTGCATAATTCAGTCAGGTAACAAAATAACGTACATCTTAGGCTTTATGAGTATTTAGACTGGTAGTGTCACGAACTGAACTCTGAAGACCCGTGAAGACGCCAAACACAGTAAAAAATGGATTAAAAAGTCTATTTTTAGCAGAGTTACCAGAGTAGGGCGAGGCTGAGGCAGGGTCAGAGACAGGCAAGGTCCAAATGGCAGGCAGCGAGCAAGGCAGGGGTCAGGCCAAAAAACAAGGTCCGGAGGCAGAAAGCAGGCAGGGAGAATGGCTGCAAGATCTACTAGTAAACACGTTCAATAACCTGGCGCCGGTTGGAGAGCAGGCTGGGAGTTATATAGCAGGAGGAGCAGGAGTGTGTGAGGAGCTGGTGAGAGACCGGTGGTTTGGATGATGTTGATGGTGAGTTGACTGTGGTTGCTGGGGAAACGGCTTGGCTGGAGCTTGATGAGGTGACCAGGTGTGATGCATGGTTGAATGAGGAAGTGGAGGAGGGTGAAGGACGGGAGTCATGACAGATAGTTTATTATTAAAATGAACAAAAGATATGTAGGAACTTAACTAACTAGAAAGAAAACACCATTCAAGTATAAAACATCAACATGAAACGGCAAACAACTGGTAAATCACCTCTGCCATGTGCTCTACATGGAGCTCAACTTTTACTCAAGTCTCCCAAATGAAGTGCACGTTTTTCTTGAGGAAAATCAGCATCTCTAACTCGTTAGGGGTGAGTCGATTCCTATTCTCATCAAGAATGTTTGACACAGCACCAAAGAGTCTCTCACTGTCCACTGAGCTGTGGGGAGCACAGAGACATTTGTGAAGGGATCTGTGTAGCGTGTGTTTTCCAGTAGTCTAGAGGATTGCTTTTTCTAGTCCAGTAGTCTAGAGGATTGCTTTTTCTAGTCCAGTAGTCTAGAGGATTGCTTTTTCTAGTCCAGTAGTCTAGAGGATTGCTTTTTCTAGTCCAGTAGTCTAGAGGATTGCTTTTTCTAGTCCAGTAGTCTAGAGGATTGCTTTTTCTAGTCCAGTAGTCTAGAGGATTGCTTTTTCTAGTCCAGTAGTCTAGAGGATTGCTTTTTCTAGTCCAGTAGTCTAGAGGATTGCTTTTTCTAGTCCAGTAGTCTAGAGGATTGCTTTTTCTAGTCCAGTAGTCTAGAGGATTGCTTTTTCTAGTCCAGTAGTCTAGAGGATTGCTTTTTCTAGTCCAGTAGTCTAGAGGATTGCTTTTTCTAGTCCAGTAGTCTAGAGGATTGCTTTTTCTAGTCCAGTAGTCTAGAGGATTGCTTTTTCTAGTCCAGTAGTCTAGAGGATTGCTTTTTCTAGTCCAGTAGTCTAGAGGATTGCTTTTTCTAGTCCAGTAGTCTAGAGGATTGCTTTTTCTAGTCCAGTAGTCTAGAGGATTGCTTTTTCTAATCCAGTAGTCTAGAGGATTGCTTTTTCTAGTCCAGTAGTCTAGAGGATTGCTTTTTCTAGTCCAGTAGTCTAGAGGATTGCTTTTTCTAGTCCAGTAGTCTAGAGGATTGCTTTTTCTAGTCCAGTAGTCTAGAGGATTGCCTTTTCTAGTCCAGTAGTCTAGAGGATTGCCTTTTCTAGTCCAGTAGTCTAGAGGATTGCCTTTTCTAGTCCAGTAGTCTAGAGGATTGCTTTTTCTAGTCCAGTAGTCTAGAGGATTGCTTTTTCTAGTCCAGTAGTCTAGAGGATTGCTTTTTCTAGTCCAGTAGTCTAGAGGATTGCTTTTTCTAGTCCAGTAGTCTAGAGGATTGCTTTTTCTAGTCCAGTAGTCTAGAGGATTGCTTTTTCTAGTCCAGTAGTCTAGAGGATTGCTTTTTCTAGTCCAGTAGTCTAGAGGATTGCTTTTTCTAGTCCAGTAGTCTAGAGGGTTGCTTTTTCTAGTCCAGTAGTCTAGAGGGTTGCTTTTTCTAGTCCAGTAGTCTAGAGGGTTGCTTTTTCTAGTCCAGTAGTCTAGAGGGTTGCTTTTTCTAGTCCAGTAGTCTAGAGGGTTGCTTTTTCTAGTCCAGTAGTCTAGAGGGTTGCTTTTTCTAGTCCAGTAGTCTAGAGGGTTGCTTTTTCTAGTCCAGTAGTCTAGAGGGTTGCTTTTTCTAGTCCAGTGTTCTAGAGGGTTGCTTTTTCTAGTCCAGTGTTCTAGAGGGTTGCTTTTTCTAGTCCAGTGTTCTAGAGGGTTGCTTTTTCTAGTCCAGTGTTCTAGAGGGTTGCTTTTTCTAGTCCAGTGTTCTAGAGGATTGCTTTTTCTAGTCCAGTGTTCTAGAGGATTGCTTTTTCTAGTCCAGCAGTCTAGAGGATTGCTTTTTCTAGTCCAGCAGTCTAGAGGATTGCTTTTTCTAGTCCAGCAGTCTAGAGGATTGCTTTTTCTAGTCCAGCAGTCTAGAGGATTGCTTTTTCTAGTCCAGCAGTCTAGAGGATTGCTTTTTCTAGTCCAGCAGTCTAGAGGATTGCTTTTTCTAGTCCAGCAGTCTAGAGGATTGCTTTTTCTAGTCCAGCAGTCTAGAGGATTGCTTTTTCTAGTCCAGCAGTCTAGAGGATTGCTTTTTCTAGTCCAGCAGTCTAGAGGATTGCTTTTTCTAGTCCAGCAGTCTAGAGGATTGCTTTTTCTAGTCCAGCAGTCTAGAGGATTGCTTTTTCTAGTCCAGCAGTCTAGAGGATTGCTTTTTCTAGTCCAGCAGTCTAGAGGATTGCTTTTTCTAGTCCAGCAGTCTAGAGGATTGCTTTTTCTAGTCCAGCAGTCTAGAGGATTGCTTTTTCTAGTCCAGCAGTCTAGAGGATTGCTTTTTCTAGTCCAGCAGTCTAGAGGATTGCTTTTTCTAGTCCAGCAGTCTAGAGGATTGCTTTTTCTAGTCCAGCAGTCTAGAGGATTGCTTTTTCTAGTCCAGCAGTCTAGAGGATTGCTTTTTCTAGTCCAGCAGTCTAGAGGATTGCTTTTTCTAGTCCAGCAGTCTAGAGGATTGCTTTTTCTAGTCCAGCAGTCTAGAGGATTGCTTTTTCTAGTCCAGCAGTCTAGAGGATTGCTTTTTCTAGTCCAGCAGTCTAGAGGATTGCTTTTTCTAGTCCAGCAGTCTAGAGGATTGCTTTTTCTAGTCCAGCAGTCTAGAGGATAGCTTTTTCTAGTCCAGCAGTCTAGAGGATAGCTTTTTCTAGTCCAGCAGTCTAGAGGATAGCTTTTTCTAGTCCAGCAGTCTAGAGGATAGCTTTTTCTAGTCCAGCAGTCTAGAGGATAGCTTTTTCTAGTCCAGTAGTCTAGAGGATAGCTTTTTCTAGTCCAGTAGTCTAGAGGATTGCTTTTTCTAGTCCAGTAGTCTAGAGGATTGCTTTTTCTAGTCCAGTACTCTAGAGGATTGCTTTTTCTTGTCCAGTAGTCTAGAGGATTGCTTTTTCTAGTCCAGTAGTCTAGAGGATTGCTTTTTCTAGTCCAGTAGTCTAGAGGATTGCTTTTTCTAGTCCAGTAGTCTAGAGGATTGCTTTTTCTAGTCCAGTAGTCTAGAGGATTGCTTTTTCTAGGGATGGTTTGCTCTGAAAGGTAGATCCGCACCAGGGGCTTCATTTATCATACGTTGGTAGAAACTGTCCTACAGTCCCTCCTAAGACCGACATTCAGAACGTGTGTACGAACAATCAAAAGACTGATTTATGAAACGTGGTGGCCTCTATGGTGCTCGTGTCCGTTCGCCATTTACATACAGAAGCGCCCTCAATTAACCATAATTGGTCATGCTACGTCCTCAGCCCGTGAGGGCATTCCCTGTTTTGTTTCCTGGAAAAAAAAAGAAGAGAAAACTTTATTGACAACAAGATCGAGACACTGGCTGCTGAGTTGCAAACGTTCTAAACGCGACCAAGACAGAGGAGAGGTTCCTGTCAGGAATAAATAGAACCTGAATCTGATAAATGGTGGAGACACGGCTTGTTAAGAAGTCCTTCTGTGTGGAGTTAGTTTCATTTGGAAATGTTGTCTGAGAGCAGCCTTAGCCTCTTCTGAGCTGTCGTTAACTCTGGTTGCGTGTATGACCAAGGAGCAGAGGAGGTTCTGGGAGTTTCTCAAGTTGTAGAATAAAATATGAACTGGGATCGGATTCGTGAGGTTTGTGTCGCGCCACAACGGGTCCTGGATCCCAGCACAGCAGAAGGATTTCCTTTGAGATCAGAGCGCTCACGGAGAACACGTTCCCTCCAGAGAACACGCTCTGGTAAATCCTACACCAACACAGATCAGCCATGACATCATGTCAGATTCCCGTCAGTCACTAATGCCTTTTAATGGTTTTAGCACCAATTATGCAAAAAGCCGTTTTTCCACCGACATAACTACACACTGGGTACATAAAACTTGTGGATGAGAAACACGTGGATGACTGAGACGTTCGGTATTGTGCTTCCCTGTTCTGCCACTGGTTGCTGTGCGTATGCACGCTCAGAGATGCTCTTACATTTAGGAACGTTTCTACGCACAAGTACAACATGATAAATACCAAACAATGTATTATGCATGAAATAGACACAGATCTGTGCTTAAGTACTTTTGATAAATGAGGCCCCTGGACATCTGCTGATGTGGTACTCACAGATTGGTCCTCTGGCTGACACTCTTCTAAGATCTCATCTAACCCCGGCTTTCCACCGGAGCCGTCAGCAGCACGTCATAGCTGCTGATAGGAACCGCTGTGGTCAACAGAACCTTTTCCACCGCAGCCGTCAGACGCCGTCAGCAGCGCGAGTCTGCCGCGTCTCAGGAGCAGCATGTCGCGGCCTTTACGCGCCGGTTCTATTTTCTACGCGCGACACCTCTGAAACGGGTCAAGTTCAACATTTTTGGGGAAGGAAAGACAGGAAATCGGACGCGGAAATGGAGAGAAGCTCCTGAGATTTTCAGAATAAAGAACGTACTGCCTTCCGGTTGCTTTACTTAAAAACAAGTTACTAACTGTGCGGCCCCGTGAGAAGTTATCACCTAGCTAGCGGTCTCCTTTGTTTTTCAGGTCCGTATTGGCGATTATAAAACGGACAGAACATAAAACACAAACCATGTTGTAGTTTTCTCCTGCTTGTTGTTGTGTTTACTGACGAAGTCACTCGTGGGACTTCGTGCTCGGTCGGTGACAGCTGCTCCCCTGCTGCTCCGCGTCTCGTGGGAAGGGCCAAGCAGCAGCTTACGCGAGCAAGACGTGCTGCTGCAGTAACGTGCTGCTGACGGCTCCCGTGGAAAGAAGGGGTAAGATGCTGCCAAGGCTGCAAGGTGCCTTGCTCACGGGCTTTGCTGCCTATGGTTCTTTACTGGCAGCCCTGTAGTCCTCTATCTTCATCATCTCCTGGATGAGGGAGTCTTTAGCAAGCCTCAGGTGGTCTGACGTGAAATATCTACAAAAAGATGAATGTAACTATTTCAAGGAGATCTACCATCCTTGTCTGTAGGCTGCTACCAGCCCTCCTACGAGGTGATGCTGAGATTCTACAGTTTGTACAAGCAGGCCATGTGTGGACCGTGTGCAGTACCTCGTCCTGGCTTCTGGGACCCAGTGGGACGCTACAAATGGTAAGTATGGGTTTGCACACTGGGATAGAGGGTTTAGGAACATCAAAGCTCCTGGCCACTGGACTGTTGACTGATTGGTCAAACCTTATTGTTTGTTTCCTGACTTGTTTTCATCTCCCAAATTCATTAAATAAGGAATCCATTTTGAAGGTTTTCATTCAGCTGATTTTGTTAAGAAGAAAAATAAATGAGAGGATGGGGAGATGTGATGGGAGATATGAGCCCACACTTTCTGCAGCGTTCTGGTGAAGCAGCAGTTTATGAAGGGATTTGCTGGGGAGACCAAAGAGAAGGGAGGTACAGTAATATATCCTGGATGTGATGAGGCTGTGGTGGGAGGAGTTGGTGATTGGCCCAGTCTCAGGGCAGACACTCTGCCACTAAGCCTTTGAGAAGGTTATTATTTTGTACATATAGTAGCAGCTCTTTGAAAAAGTGAGTAGGGCTAATAGTTGTTATATGGGGCAAAAACACACAGCTAGCTGACTCCAAAAGATACATAAAAAACTAAGAGAATTTGCCTGCAGACAGCAAAAATGCCAACATAGCAGTGGCTATTTATGAAGGGGGTCAGGAGGTCGACATGGACACTGCCGATGGCGTGGACCTCTTGTACCGGAGCTCGTAGCCAGCTCAGAATATGACCCTTCTAGTCTGGATTATCTTCAGGTGACGGCATGAAGCTGGAGGGTCTATTTTGCATCCTGTCATATTTTTTGTTTTCATCGTCTTTGTTTATAAATTTGGCAAATCAGAATTTGACACATCTTATGGTATATTGTGAAGAGAAGGGGCCCCAGGACAGAGCCCTGGGGTGCACCTGAGGTGACTGGGGATGGTTGTGAGGAAAAATATTTTAACTGAATGAACTGAGCGCGGCCGGTGAGACAGGACTGAAACCAGTTGAGGGGAGTGTGAGTGATACCTAGAGAAGAAGGTCTATTGAGCAGGATGGGGTGAAAAATAGTGTCGAAAGCTGCACTTAGATTGAGAAGCATTAGAATGAAGATTAAACCAGTCAGCAGCAAAGAGAAGGTCATTGGTGATTTTGATGAGGGCTGTTTCTGTACTGTGGTGGGGTCGGAAACCAGATTGAAAATGTTCAAAGAGGTTATTGCAAGGAAGATGTGTGTGTAGCTGTGATGCAACGGTTTTGTCTAAAATTTTGGAGATGAATGGGAGATAGACGGAGGTTATTAAAATCATTGGGTTCTGCACCAGGTTTTTTCAGAATAGGAGAGACTACTGCTGATTTGAAGGGGGCATTAAACACTTTAGATTTAAAACATCTTGTAGGTAACAAGAACACGATTGTAAATACCTTTTAAAGTAAGAAACACTATTCTATGAGCCAAAAACAAAAGATAACTTTACTAAAAGGAGATCGATAAGCAGTCTTGTGTCCTCAGAGGCATCAGGAGTCTTGCTATACCAGATAATGGTGAAGTTTACACCTCCTGGTGTCAGGTTGACACATCCTGTGTCACTGCAGAAAGATAATTTTTGACCTATTTGATGAAACGCATGGTCTTGGCCACACTACAAAGGTAAACCTTTGGCCCAATCTGAGATCCTGAGCACTCTGGAGAAGGTCCTTGTCCAGGATATCCCTGTACTATTCATTATTCCCTCGATTGCAACCAGTCGCCCTGTCCCTGCAGCTGAAAAACACCCCCACAGCATGATGCTGCCACTGCCATGCTTCACTGCGGGGACTGTATTGGACAAGTGACGAGTCGTCCCTGGTTTTCTCCACACAAACCGCTTACCCCAAAACTCCACTACCCCCCCCCCCCCCCCCCGCCCCCCCCGCCTTCCACTGCCGCTCGCTTCCGAACTCAATTTTACTGGTACCCGCTCTACAACGGCTCAGCTCCGGTGCGGAGACCTGAGGTGGGCAAACAAGCATGCGCGGGATTTTCGAGATCTTGCGATACAGTCCGAGCAATAAACGCGGAAGTTAGATCCAAACACCCGTTGTGTGGGAGAAGCATCGACATGAACTGTTTAATCTGCCCATCATTTGTGTTGAGAGATCAGCAGTGTTTGGATCAACAAAGTGTGACTACTTTGATAGTGGAAACTGTATTTATGGCTTACTTTTGTGCATTTAAAGTTCAGCCGCCATTGATAGTTGTTAAAAGTTGTTAAACCTGTGCATATGAAACAAAAAACGCCTTTTGTTTATCGATTTATTGTGAAATAACGGAAGCTGTGCTTGCTCCTTTTCCTGTTGGGCGGTTGTGTTTCCTGTCCATTTACTGCGGAGGTGCTCCGGCGTCCGGCAAAAATAGAATCGATCCTGTTTTTGCCGGATGGCGGAACGGAGGGCGGCGCACTGCGCCGCACGGCCGCAGTGGTGGAACAGCTCTGATTGACTACAACGGGACCGATTTTGCTGCGGAGTTCGTGCCGGAGATGGTGGAATTTTGGGGTTAGAGTTTAGGCCAAAAAGTTCTGTCTTGATCTCAGACCAGAGAATCTTCTCACCATCTCGGGGTCCTTCAGGTGTCCTTTAGCCAACTCCATGCACACTTTCATGTGTCTCTTCTCCCCCAGTAGCTCAGTGTCAGGTTTATTTGTAAAGCGTCTTCATATGGCCCGAGGGATAAACAAAGACCCTAACCCTGACCACAACAAATGACCACAGTTTGCCGTAAGAAACCACAACAAGATATCTGAATAAAAAATATAAAACATTTAAAAGCATTTAAGAAATTAGCCCTCAGGCTTCATTAGGGACATTTTAGTCCATTTGGGCAGTTTTTTGTTTTTCTTTTTGAGGCCATTTCACCACCGTTTGTACAAAATGTTGTCGCAAAACCTCTCTGAACATATTTTGATCAATGGAAAAATCCATAAGCACAGAAACACACACACCCCCACACACAAAACAAAACCACCAACCAGACACAAAACCGCAACCAAAACGCCAGAAAAAAAAGGACGAGCCCCCAATTAATGTTACAACCCGTCTAGGAGGGCCAGGCTGTAACATCAACATGGTTCCATCTTCCACCAATTCCAAACCACCACACCAGAAGTCCGAGAACAATAATTTATTCACAAGATCAAGGTGATGAACTAAGGACGAGGGAGGATTAATAACTCAGGGTGAACCAACGTCTAAAACAATAAACAAATCACCTCTAACTTCAGAATGACAACTGACCTACAAACTTAAAGGAAATAATTGACAACCAAACTTACCTAACGCTAATCCTGACTATCCAAAACAGGAGAAAACAGGAATGCAAAGAAAAAAGGCGGTTCACCCCTACAGAATCCTCGAGTGGCAGGTACTAGTCCCAACAGCACGAGGGCATCTCACAAACACAGAGCATCAAGTGGTGGCTGATTGGAATGAGTGGAGGACGAAGAACACAGCTGCATCTCATCAGGCTCCTTTTAACAGCTTTGCCCCAGCTGACCTTCCAATCCAAACGTCCCCTGGCTATCATCCACCAATCCTAGGAGGGCACCTGCACACTCAAAACAACACTAGAAATAAGAATAGTATAAAATAAAAGAAATAATGTTCCTTATGACCGTGGTCATAGCACATTCTCCACTGGCATGTTAACGGCTGCAAGACATCCAGCTTGAGACGTGCATCCTAAACGCCTGCAGCCAGATGTCAAGACCAGGTGGAATAGCACCTACTACATGGTGGAGAGTCGGACTGAACAGAAGCGAACGCTGTGTGCTTATTCTGCTGACCATGAGCTGCCCTCGGTTCCCACGGCTAGCCAGAAGACACTGCTGGAGAAAATGATGAGCCGTTTGAGGAGTTTACAAAGAGAGTGAGCACAGCCTCCATCGCTGATGTTGTCCCGAGCAACACCGTTCTCAAACGTCTCCTCTCAGTGGAAACCGAGGCTGACTCTGAAATAAAACCCATGAAGAAGACCCTTCTTGCAGCTGTGGACAAACACTTTGCCACCGTGGAAGAAGAACCTCTGTATGCGCTTCCTACACTGCTGGACCCACGGTACAAAGACAGGTCACACTTGTACATTTTGAACTTAAGAGTACAGTTAAACATTTTCATGTTTCTCTACCTTTTTTACTTATGCTAGAGGATTTTAATAAAGCTTTGAACAGATAAATAAGACATTAAATACAACAGTAACATTTTATATTTAAATAATGAAGAAAAATTACTGGCACCTTTTTGTTTTTATTTAGAAGTTTTGTTTATTCTAACTTCCAAATATTACTTTTTCAGATTTTTCACCCGCACAGATTCTGTCAAATATGGGAAGGAAAGACTTGCTAACGAAATGGGCAAAGACTTGATGACAGCTACCACTGATGAGACCACCAAAGCCTTGGAGCCACCAGGAAAAGCCCCCCCAGTGGAAGCAGAAGCAGCAGCTCCAAGCAGAAGCAAAATCAGTAGCACCTTCATGAAAGAATTTGACAAAATTCGAGAGGAGCGTGAGGAAGATCCTGCTGCAGCAAGTAGGGCTGTAGCGAAGCCTCGACGACGTCGACGGCTCGATTCTAAAAATTTGTCGACGTCAGATCCGGAAGTCGACGCACCGCGCCCACATGTTGCATCCCCAGGAGTTTGTAAATAGAGGAGGAATCTGCCTGTTTTTCCTCTAGTTCGCCCTCTTCTCCGCCTTCACTAACATCTCCGCCAAATACCGAAGAACCGGATCAACGTCTGTCTGCTACTAGATTATTTTCCTGTTTTGCCCGCCTTCGTCTCCCGGCAACGGACAACAACTTCCGGGGTCAGATGCGCTGCTCCGTCTCTATAGCAGATGTAGAACATCACCGGGAGCGTTTCTCCCTTCATAAAGGAGCTTCTTTCAGACATGAGGAGAGCTGTTTTGGTGGTAGCAGTCTCTCCTCCGTGCTGGTCTGTTTGCTGCTGGGTGTTTTTGGTTTATTTAAACTTGGTAACTTGAACTTAACGTTGGTAAAGCTACTGTTAGCATCTTCGCTAACAGCTTCTTGCGTTGGGATAAGCTGTTACGTTTTGGTTTAGA